ATAATTTATTTCAATTTGTTCGTTGACATTATTAACTTTTAGCATCGCTTGACAATTAAGTAAACCTCTCTGGGTAGAGATGAAGTCTCCGTTGTGCGAGCTTTTTCATCTTTGTGGTGCCAATTATTTCCGATTTAAGGAGAAACATGAGACTAGGGGAGACAAGAACGGATGAGAGATTCTGAGCAGAAAGAGACGAACGGATTCGATTCCTCAACGGGGGACGGACGGTGCGAGAAGGGAAGAACGAGCGAAAGGGTTGTGCGATTACAAGCGATTAGGGGACGACGAGCGAGCATGTAGGCGTAAATATCCGACGTTAACAACTAAATGGCAGGCACACATACATACACATATTTAGAGAGACGTTTACAGGTACATTTTAGTAATACAGGAGCATAGATCGTACGGGGTACAAGTTGGCGCGCGACCGACGCGCGTCGAATCAGGTTTAAGATTTGCCAAATCTTACTAAGTAAAAAAACCACGCGAAACAGAGTAAAGTTTATTAAGCTGCACTATAGCATGTAGGAAGTACTTGCATTAAAGGGACAAAAAACATAGCTAAAATCCATTAGTGTTTACTAAAACGAAGATGTGATGAAAAGTGCCGGCGCAATATTTCCAAATCGAAGCCCCTCGAACCTGCCGTTTGTTGGAAGGGGGACCCACCCTCTGATCCTCCGAACGAACTTGCGTGCAAAAAGAAACAAAAGAGAAAGGGGGGGAGAAATGAAGATGAAGTCGGTGATCGCACCAATCAAACGGGAGGAGACACCCTCGGTCATTGCACTTCTCTTGCGATCGTGTCTTTGTGTCTCCGTTTTTCTTTACGCGACGATATCCTGTCGACGGAGCGCTTCGTAGGTTCGTAGGGCGCGTCATGTTAATTATCAAAAATTGCGGCAAGAAACGATCGTCAAATAGAACTCGTCGGGACGTGCCGGTGTCCTGCGCGCGAGAAGAGGAACGCGGCGAGAGCGAGGGAGCGGAGGAGGTCGCGGGGTGTCGACGAGTGAGCGTTACGAAAGTGGAAAAAAATAATTAACGATCGTTATCTATTTTTAGCGATGTTATCTCCGACACGATGGGTGGGGGAGAGACCACGGGAGATTTGGCGTGGGCGACAAATGAAAGGGCGGCACGAACGGTGTTTTCGGTACACGTATCAGATTGAATCGACGTGACGCGAATATCCGCGTTTGTTCCCGCGCGAACAACAGCGGGGCTCTGCAATTGTTGCTGATGGGACCGAGGTCGGTCGAGGCGTTCCTCTGAGATTAACGAATGCATTAGCGAAAGCAGATTTATTAGAACGAAGGAGTGTAAATCGCGAGTAGTTGATTAACAGTAAAAAGAATTGTTACACGACTTTAGGCTGGCAGCTGGTTTATTAGTTTGATTCCGACGTTTTTCGACCATACGGGGGTTGTGGTCCTTTTCAAGGAATTAGATAATAAATATTACGTCATCTCTATTAAATTAAAAAGAGGTTTGACACCTATCTCTGGGTGGGCCACTCGGAGAACCGTGTTCGAAGGCACGTCCATCCAACGTAACGACCACAGTAGGACCAGCCTAAAGTCGTGTAACAATTCTTTTTATAGATTTATTAGGTAAATCGCGCCGATATTAATCTCTGATGTGAGCAGAAGTTTCAAGCGACGTAGAGGGGATGCTCGGAGGTTGGAAGCGTCGAAATTAGTATGGGACGGGCACTTCGAAAGTGAAATCTCACAGATGACTCGCACTGATCAGGTTCAGAGGTGGAAGGATCGATAAGGAAGGCGGGCAGTAGAGGACGAATGAAAGATAGGAACGCACATGGTCGCCCGCGGTCGGAGAAGAGAAGTGTGCTGGGAAAGCGTGTCCGTTCGTTTTTTCTCGGAAAACTCCTCGATTCGTGTCTTCGAAGGAAGGGTATTAGTCAATCCGACGTGGAGGCAAACGGCAAAGACAGGATGGTCTGAATAGAAGGGATCGACGTCGACTCGTTCCGCTGATTTCTTCTGGTCGTTCCTTTTTTTTTGTTGCTTTCGACACTTGCCGGCGAACATTAAGGGGCAAATAAATTACTCGCGCATTGTTTAATATATTTTAATACTTATCCACATATACGTAACCGATTGCATCAGACACAAGAGCTACATGTGTCCCCGAAATGTATTTCTCGTGCTTGGTACAATCGATTACATGGACGCACGAACGAATGAGATGTATGGAACAATTTGCGAGTAATTGCTTTGCTGTAAAATTTTTGCCGGTAAGTATACAGCACGAACACTATGTACACACACGCGTACACACTTCTTGCTTTCGTCGTGTTAATTAGCCCATACGAGTACGTCATACACCATACGCTCTTACTCCCTCCCCCCACTCTCGACGGCACATAAAATAACAGTACTATTATGATACTGTACTATTGCTACTATTATGACTATTATTACTACTACCCCAATTATTACTATAAAAATTACTACTTATACTATTATTATTATTACTATAATTATTACTATAATTATTCTTACTGCTATTATTATTATTATTCATTGAACACACATACACATATATATATATAAAGTATATATATATTAATATGCTTAACGTGTTTCTAGTGGATTAATTGATTAATTGATACTTAAGATATATTAATAATATTAATAACGACGAAAAGTCATGTATCATGGATTATGAGACATATATAATATTATATATATATACATAAATCTATATACTACACATATATATAATGATGATAAGTTAATACGCTGATTACTATTATGATATGATAGAGAGAGAAAAATGAATCATTATTCGTAAAAATACATATTGGTATAGATTATGAGAAATTATGATTAAATAGAAAATGATATTGATGAAAGAAAAATTTCCATCTCTTGTCAATCGAATTAATCTCGATCCCTTCACTTAAATTAGATCGCACCTTATATAGTTACTATTTCATGTGGTTGAGAGACTTAAAACACTGCACAGCATAAATTTTTATTCCTAGTGACGATCGTATTTAGCATACTTAGAGCTAGTTGTCGCGGGATGCTGTATATGAGTGCCAGTTAGACGATCAGTTTCAGTACCTCTCATTTTTGAAGGATTTTCTTTTGAAATTGCAAAATATCTAATTTGTATATAACACATGGTATGAATGACAGCGAGCATGCGAGTGCGCGAGAGAAGAGAGATGACATGTGTTTTCTTAGAACTTTGATTGCGATGGCGCACCTGTCCGTCGATCGATTCCCCTCGATCCCTCGGATCAGCCGCCATCGGCACCGGTGTACGTTCCTTCTACTTTCTTTTTGCCGCTTCTGTTTTGCAATCACCCTCACGCATTGCGATTTCCACCGTGCATACGCGATTATGCGCGCGCAATCCAAGTACGGCTGCGTCAACGCACGGAGCATATTTCGTTGGAAAAGTCATGTGTCGTGGATATACATTTACATATATTTTACACGTGAGACAAGTTTTGACGTGCCAATTTTGACGCTTGCCCCTTACATGGAAAGAAATTGTCGAGTCGACATTGCGACAATTTTTGCCGTATGCACGGTGCCGCTGTCATTAACGAGAACGAAATTACAGAGGTGGTCCACTGTTAAAAGGTATTGATCGAACGGATTCTTTGGATTTCCATTGCCGCAGACATTCAGAAAACGTATCGGAAACGGTGGAGACAAGCTTTTAATTAGTGCAGTGTTTTATGCGCGTCCCAACATATCCCGCCATGTTCTCTCGAATCTGAGGCGTGTCGTCCTGTGTAGTAATTATCATGTTGAGAACAGAGCTGTTGCATTGGAAATAATTTCTACCTTTTCTTTTCTTTTTACAATCGAATTCTCTCGCATCGCAACGGGAAAGTCTCAGTTTCGAGTTGGCCTGGTATTAGACATGTCAGCACTTTCGTATGTTCACTTGATGATTTTATTCGCGAATAAGACCTTTCTTTAAAGCTTCCTTCTTTTAGTTCTCTGATTCCGTAATAGAGACTTGTATCATTTAACAGAGATCTTAATCATTAGTGTTGACATGTTCATAAATCGAAGCTTAATCTCTAAGTACACTTAACCCATTAACCGGGCAGGCAGTTAAAATATTTCTCCGGCGTCCGTAATTTTAATATGCGTACATAATTTTCGTACTTTAAAGATCGTAACATACGTAACATAGTTTCATATATTAATATGATATAATAGATATAATAACACGTATGTAGATATAAATATATATATACCTGACGTAAAGATCGTCCAAAAGTGCATCGATATCAAAATGGCACGAAAATACATATATAATTTTCAATTGAATAAACTCAGGACAAATTTTTAGATAATACGATTTCTAATTTATAAGTTACTTGATATAGAGACGATTTGTATATTATAGTAATGTACGATGTTTTTGAATTCGTATATCATACAATAATTTTAGATAAGTCCTAGATTATTAGACTGCAATGAATATAGAATATATAATTACAGCGTTAATGTTATGAAAACAAAAACTCGGTTAAAGGGTTAAATTAGGAGCTTCATGAGACCGTGTTCAGCCACTTGAAGTAAGACCATCCTCGAAGAGAAAAAAAAAAGAACGCACGAACCTCTAGAACCACCTCTCTTTCTCTTTCCTCTCTAAGTCCCCCTTCTGTCATTTCATGCTACCCTCGACCGTCGCACGAAACTCGCTCGAGAGTTTTCTCCAGAGGAGCGGCACTCGAGGGAGAAAAGTGCGTTCATAGAGATGAAACGAGCTCTAACGATCTTCCCTACCTTTCTTCCCCGCAGACATCCTCCCGATCCCCAAATTCAAAAACATCGAAACCGGAAGTCCGACCTTCATTCCCAACGGAGACGCAGCCCCTGGTCCCCAACGGTTCTCCTTGACCCAGCATACGAATTACCATCCTTATAGGCGCTAAAAGACCTCGTCGACGTCATCCGAAACGGCCGAGAGAAACAGGTTTTTTTTTTTATAAGTAGCGCGAGTAGACGGGATAGGGGAAGAGAGTGCGAGTGGCAGAAAGCGAAAAAGAATGCGAGAGAATGGCTGCGTGAGACTGGACGCGCACAATTTCCGGCCGGATTCACCCCGTGCGCGTGTCACGCGCCGGTTGCATCTCTCAACAGTTTCGATTATACATCACAACTTGTTAACTTTATAGCGGTGACTTTGAGCTCGTTTCTCCAGCAATCGAGAATGGCGCGCAGTAAGATTACCGAGTAAGGATTAATTAATTAAATTAGCCAGAAGTAAGTGTGTGCTCGGTTTATACAGTAAGATTAACTAAGCCACCGTCACATATGTTAGCTGTACGATTTTCATTATTAAGCTAACATTAAATTTTATCGCTTAACCTTTAGAGTGTAGTATCTTTGTAGTAAGTCTTAAGGTGTGTCCCGCTTTTTTATGGATATACATGTTACCTTTAATCGTGACGATGTTTCTATAATTGTCTTAAGTGATTAAACGTTAAAAGTATAAGCCATTAAACGACTTCCATTTAACGCTTTTCAATTGCAAATGTTACAAAATAACGAGTCTATAACGGTGATGTCTATTACGGTCTGCGAGAAAATTGAATTTATTAGTCATTTTTTTGCTTTTTTTACAACTCATTTAAATTCTTTACCTTCAAGTTAGACAAAAGTGGGCTAGAATATCATTCTAAACTATTAAATTACGTAGATTGTTAATTATTCGTTTCATATCGCTGGATTAGTTTCGAAGAGTCACATTCTTTTCAACTCTATGATATTTGAGCGACATACTTTTCTCAGTGCAAAAACGTTTTGACGGCGATAAGATTGAATTGGAAAGCGTTAAAAGGGGAATCGATGAATCGCGATGACGCTCCGGTTTTACGCCTGCCGTGAACGGGGACCGGTAAGGTCGGTGCGAACGAGTTGACCCGTTTTTCAGGGCGTCCCTTTTTTTTGCAAATTAGTCACGAACTCGTCGCGATCCGAAACTTGTCTGGAGGTCCTAAAAGCCGCCGCTCTATGACGCACGCTCGGATCTCTCGGAAAGAAGATGTGTGTAATCTCTTTCGAGATCTAGGTCGGTGATATTAATTCAGCCCGTTTGCTCTCGAGTTTTCAAATTACCCTCCGCAAAACTCCATTCATCCATATCTACCCATTTGTTCATCCATCTGTCCGTCCACCCATCCATCTATTTATCTATCCGTCCGTTCAACCATCCATTCATCCGTCTACTTATCTATCCATCCGTTCAACCACCCATTCATTCATCCACATCGATCGATCTATTCATCCACCCATCCATTCTGCGCCTCAGATCGTTTCAGAAGCGAGACATATATTCTCTGATCCTACTTGGTATCTTCAAACTTCTTTCCCTCGGGTTTCACTTTTACTCGCCCCAAATAGCTTTCCTCTTCTGCCTTTTCTTCTTTGTTTTTACTTTACTTTCTCACATTGCTACTTGTCTCTGTATATCTACATATATTATTGCAGAGTTGATTAAATATTCAAATCCAAGCGATATAAAAGAAAGTAATATCAATCTTGTACATTTCCTATTATTTGTTGTATCTTTTTAATTAATTCCACATTAAACGGATATATTTCTTTAAAAGATCTTAAAAAATTTATTAAAATTCACGCAATTTTTTTGCTCGTGTAAAGTGTTTACTTTTGCATATATATCGCGGATCATGCTTTTTAATTGTTTGTGAAAAGTTATCCGGTGAACTCTACTTTTATTTATCTTTCCTATTTTTCGGTAATACCACGTTTATGGTTGCAATTACTACTAATAAAAAAGCACGTTACAATTATTGTTTTATTATCAAATTGGTAATTATTTGATCGCAAATGTTCATTATCGATTAAATTTGTAGTATGTGACGACTTTAGATGCCCTGATTAGTCTCCGTTCTCCGTTCTAACTTCTTTTTTTTCACCTAATTCCAACAATCTTAATTCTTTGCAGTCCTATATTCACGTTAAAAACATTATCTCCATGCTGCTACAATATTTTGTAATATAAAATACTTTTAACAACTTGGAATTAACACAAACATTATAAATGTATCTAATTATTCGAACTAACTGTAATAAATGTCTCTCTCTCTCTAAATACAGGAACGTCAATAAAATAATTTATCACGTGATATTCAAATATATACAGGGTGACTCTGAAAGACCGCCCATTAATTACACAGCGTTGTTTCCTATTACAAACTGAGCCGAAAAGTCCTGAACCATTTCTCTCTATAATGCTTAATAAAAAAAACAAAATTGTTAAGTAAAGTCGTACGAATTAGCGCCGATCTTTAGCCGGGAGCACGTCAATGAACCACGTGCTTAGTAGTGTACGTCGCAAACTACTAAGCACGCGGCTCATTGACGTGCGCCCGGCTAAATCAGCGCCAATTCTTTACTAAGCATTATAGAGAAAATGGTTCGGGACTTTTCGACTCGGTGTTTAATAGGAAACAACGCTATGTACCTAGCGGATGGTTTTTCAGAGTCACCCTGTATATCAGTCTCGTGTTACCGGCCAATGCATATCTGCGAAGGATCTAAACGCAGCAGTAGAGGCATCGTATCGTCAGAATTGGATCCACTTTCGAACACTCGTGATTCGGGTTGCAAAGAGTTAAACTCCTTTCGCTTTTCACGCTCGGGTCTCCTATCGAGGATATCAGTCACTTGAGTTATTGTAGAGCAACGCGAGCCACTGCTCTGTTACCACCCTCTCCGATTACGTCCTCTTGCCACGTCCTGGCACGCAGTACTATGTTCTTTTATGCGATTCTATACAGGCGCCAGATATGGATCGTCGAGCGTTCCTGCTGCGCCAGGAACCGACAACTACGGCGGTGGGCCCCAAAGGGGTTACACAGGATCTACGTCGAGCACCAACAATTATCATCCTTATCGCCGCTAGAAGGAATAAAGACAGAACCGATCTCGGCTTTGGCCCAAGACTCCCCTCTTCCCCTCTTTGTTGCTAACGTACACATTCGTATGCATACTTATTACTGAAATAGTTTATACCGGCGATAGAGTACACGCGCCCTGTTTTACTTTAAGTCTGCGTTGGAGAAACTCGTGGAGAATAAGAGATCGGCGTATGGTACTTCGTGGGACGAGCGAGAGGCGCGCGAAACGTTCGAGGAAGGCGCGATGTTGCCTGCCGTCAAATTTGCTCGACGTCGACTATAGGCGTGTACAACGGAGAAAGGGGGAAAATTGCGGAATTCGCGGCGAGAAACCGGATCGCTGCTGTTACAGCGGATCGTGCGGTGTCAAGTAAATTTAAGATCTATCACGACACTTCATTGATTGGTGCCACTCGCGAGGTCGAGATACTTTTACGTGCAGCAAACTCCCGATTAAAGTCGATTTTAGGCCTTCGTCCTGAATGCATCTCGCACATCCAAGGAGCATTGCTCGAGCCTTTCAACCAAGTTCATCGAGAGAAAGTGCACAGGTTTTTACAATCGAGATTAGACATTCTAATTGCTATTGATTAATTTCTAAACATTTCTAATTTTATATATTGGATAACTATGAAAAAAAAATATTATGGTAATATATAATATATTATTGCATACATATATTATGTATATTATATATGTGTAATATTATATATATAAAAATATAATATTATATATATAAATATATAAAATAATATATATATAATGACGATAACTTTTCTACACAAAGTTCAATTTTTCCCAGTAGATTAACATTTAAATATAGGCATTTGCTACACATTCATTGACGGAGAAAAACTCGTGAGAACTCATCAGTGATCTGTCATTAACAGACTTTCGGCAGGTTTAGACGTACAAAACTCTTACAGCGATTCACTTGTACCGTTTGTCATTTTATTTTTACTATTTCGAAACGCACGCACGTTTGCATGCCCTGCGAGTCCGAGTTAAGCGACAGACTGCGAGCTCGATATCTGGCTTTTCGAAGCTGCAGAAAGTAAATAGCTTGCCGATGTATATTAACGTCGATTCGTGTGTTCGCGAGTTAGAATTGTACCGCGGACAAGTGTCGACTGGCGTAAGAAATAGTAAAAAAAAACACACACATTTTGTGTCTTTTTAATCGAGAAGTTAATAAGTGGTAAGGAGTGTGTCGTAAAAATAAGGAAACGATTCATCGAACGGACGACAAACCATCGACGGTCGTGTTATAAGAATACACGACTGCTGTAGAAGACAATATCTTTCTTTCTTTTTTTTTTACGTGCTGTACAGCTCGAGAGATCGACTCGAGGGCTCCAATTATTAAGTTTATTCTCAGCAATAGCGTTCATCTTACCGTGTCTATTCCGAGTTCTTCACTTTCGTTTGCGGACGACGAAATTGTCGCTTCCTTTCCCTCCCCTTTTTCGTGTTTCTTCCCAATTGTAATTGTCGCGACGACAGCGTTAGAATATAGACACTTCGCGCTTTCTTTTTTTTCGATTTCTGCCTTAGGAAGTTATTTCCTAGACGTCCTGTTTATTTTACTCACTGGATGACGTGAGGCATGTGGACGCGAGGTAAAAGAAAAGTCAGGAACGCGCGTGAAGTTTAGCGCACTGCGAGCACCGATATGGCCCGATCACTCGACACAGTTATCTCGATATTTGTTTCCTTTTCTACTTTCGCAGCTTGTCGTCCCGCTTTAAAGGTCTCAGCATCCGCGGAAATATCTTTTTTCCGATTTTCAGTTGAATTGAAAATTACACTTAGGACCAAACTGTCGTCTGCGATGTTATTAACGAGAATGCAATAATGCATTGATTTGCGTAATGATATTTGGCCAAATTATTTATTTGTTTAGAATTGATTGTTTTCGAGAGGCATCAGAGCGTATCGCATACTAGAAATCCGGAAGACCGAGTCAATCTGTGCATTTCAATATGAAAATATGCATCTGCATTTGTCGTATAGCTCTCTTGTCGTTATTTCAAGACCTTTTTGCAAAGACCTGTCGTAACGAATGGAGCGAGCACGGTTTGTCCTGCAGCAAAAGAATTAGCGTAAGGTCAAAACGCCAAACGTATTTACTAAAAATTGCGATAGCGGTGTACGGGATAAGAGTAGTGTTTTAGATACGGTGATACATTTATACGCATGTACAACTGTGAAATGTACTCGACTGTAAAATAAGGGATGAGAAATATATGATAGGCCCAGGCGTGTCTGCGAGACGCGCATCGACTTACGACTTAGTGGTGCACCTGCGCTCCGGTACTTCCGCGATGAATTTCGAAAGAGATCCTGGAGATTTGCGACAACGAAGAGAGACACGCATTAGGATACAGCCGTGTAACGTCTAATGATAACATTAACTAAAGAGTTGTAGAATAATCAACCCGTCGTGGTACGACTGCTGTTGATGGCACACCACCTCCATTTCTCCCATTCACCATTCTAATACTATATTATTGTTTATAGTATTTTGTTACATACCGCGAACCAAGAAGCTAGCAACAGATGCATTCTTTTATAGCATAGAGTAATTGATATTCCGTACGGATTAATAAACGTTCACATTTTAATAGAAAACGCTTCGAGTGGTCAGTTATTTAATTGTCCTACCACTTCTGCTTTCCTACCTCGATCTATTCTCCCTGCAGCTCGGTTTTCCGTATGTAATTACGGGAACGAGAGCTATTGATGCGTTTCTCTCCTGCAAAAGTAAACATATTTATCAGTACAATTTTTGCTGCGATAAGTAATCATTTTTTAAATCTACATTATTCTGCACATATATCATTTAATTTAATAATATGATTTAATTATATAATCAATGTAGAAAAATTGTTAAACGACGCTAACCGGCAAATTCTAATTAAAGAAATTTATTGCGAAAAATATTACCTCAGTCAGGGTTTGAACCTGGATTTTCCCTACACTCGAGGCGGGCGTCTCCAATCTTCGACCACTGAGGCATGTGAGACGCCCACCCAGAGTGTAGGGAAGTCCAGGCTCAAACCCTGGCTGAGGTAATATTTTTCGCAATAAATTTCTTTAATTAGAATTTGCCGGTTAGCGTCGTTTTTCTACATTGGTCGATCATGTACTGGCGTTAAATAATTCCTTGCGTTAATTATATACTGTTTGCAATAATAACGCAAGACGACGTACAGAATACAACGATTTATTACATCAAGACGAGATATGTACATTGTTGTAAAATCGTACTTTCAGAAAGCAGCTTCGGAAGTTCGTGATTTTTTTTAAAATCCATGCGGTAAGTATATACTTATCTATGTTTCGCATTTATCGCTTTGTTAATAATTGTTTTAATTTTATGAAAAATTGAAAACACGGACGAAATACAGAAAAAGTATTTTTCGCACTTAATTATTTTCGATATTCTTTTAATTATGTAGTCCATCAACGTTATAAAATTATGTAAGCTAAATACGATAGAGAAGAAATGATTTGCCCCTCGCTTACAAGTTTATTATTATGTATTTGATTTCGTGTAATCAAAACATTTCATAATTTTTAAATTTATATATAATTTTGCGAGATACAAGATGAAGTTACGTATAATGTTATCGTTCGTAGTTACATCTAAATTTGTAAGTTTCAGATATGTAGATTGTCTCTCTCGAGAACCGTGCGATAATCGCTATGGATTTTACATTACATTCTTTATTCGAGGTCTAATCTAATAAACTGTTATCACATCGAAAGCCCTGCAAAATTTACTCTCACACTTACTCTATGCATTATTAATATTATTCCGAAGAGTCTCTACATTCGATTGTTACTTTGATTTTACAATTGTACCGCTTTTTTCGATGGCTTCTGCGTACTAACTGTACTTTTGTTTTTCTACGAATTACAGAGGCGCTTCTCTATAAAAGAATCGCAAAGGTAAAACGGAATTATGATAGTCCACCTGAATTAAGATTAGCTTAGGACGGTTTAGTTTCGTATAATTGTTCAAATACTCCACTTTAGGTATTTCCTCTTTTTGCACATATCATTTGTATATATAATTCATATGTCTTTTTCACTGTTGTCGCGTCATGCAAATGATATTATTTAGTCCAGCGATGAGATAACGAGTCTATAGACGTTTTTATTCTGAAAGTGAGTAAAGCTATTGTATGTACCTACTTGTAATCATCAATCAACTTTTCTGGAATACGATAGGATTATGTAATCTGCCTGGTCCAAAAGTTTATTAATAATTCATTGTGAATTTTAAATGGCGTGGCTTTTTATATAACAACACCGACAGATTAATTTTATTCACGACGAGTTCTACATCGAGTTTCAAACCTTGAATATTGGCTAAAAAATATTGCGTGGATTAATATAAATTCTCGTCGAATTATAATACATGCCAGATAAAGAAATGCTTGTTCTTTCGAAATGATAGTGACAGCTACACCTGTGCCATAAATAATAATCGTTACTCGCCTAAGAATTTGCACGTATCGTTAACATTACATATATCATCGGTACAAAAGGCATTTATACAACATCGTATATACTTTATCCCTTCTCCTCCTCGTAAATTCTTCGTTAACGGCGTTCGCCAAGTTCGTTGAACTCTCCTCGTTACAATGCAAGCAAGCTTTTAACAAGAACAGCTATTACGTAGTACATTACAATATCCATTCGTTACGTTTTCACACACAGTAAAAAAATCGCGTGTTTAAATGTTAAAATTTTCTTGCGCTACCAAGATCGGATTAATGTAAAATTAACATAAACATATATGATATATCATTTTCGTAACACTTTTATGTGTTACATTTATACTAACATAATAAACTTGACATTTTATGTATGTCACTTAAAAATTGAATATTATCTTGAGTTCTTTTAACACAACTATTTCACAAAATCAACCAAAACGTGTGATATCGACATTTCTTAAAAAGTATTTCAACTATTCGTACAGTTTACTTAACCTGTCTGTTTTATCACATCACACTTAAGATTAAAAGAGCATAAACACAAATGTGAAGCATAGTGTTAATTAACATTTATAATTTGTCAAAAAGTAACACGCGCGATGAATGTTATTTTAACATAAAGTTTAGAGTGGACTTTTCGGGACTTGTCGGGACACGTGAGAAATGTTAACATTAACATCTTATTTCTTACTGTGTATGTGTATGCGTAGAATTAACGTGGTGAGCTTGGCACTTGCAGATATTCACGCGATGGAGCACTTGTGACATCGCTGCCCCTTCGATTTCGCCTTACCGTCGTCTCCCTGCTCCATCTGCTTGCGAATGGAATCTGCAAGATGGGTGAAAGCAAATAGAATCTCTCTCTGCAAGAAATTCTATTCGATATGAAATTTAATCTTAGATATATCGCGCATGTTATTGCTATCTCTGCAAACGTTACCTGCGCCGTAATCCATTGTTAGCCCCGTGAATAGAGGATATTTTTGTTGCGCACCGTAACAAGTTCGTTGAGATAACAATCGAGTAACAGCAGTAATAAGAAAGTGAATTTATGTACGTACCAGCAACTGCTTTCTTGTCCACCGCTGATAAAGCTTCGCAGAGCTCCTTTATCAACGGTATGTCTGGATTCAATCCGGAGGCCCAGATCATTAACATCCGAAATCCGTGCTCCTTGTAACTCGAGGGACCTACAATTGAGGCTTTATCGTCCTTTTCACAAGGCTGCTCTAGATGCACTATAGGAACATCGAGGTACAAATCCACACGTATATATAATTCGCAATTAATTTTGCAATAGTCATTTTAACACACTTACGGTACAATATGCATGTTTATCATTATTTTCTTAATTGCTACTTCGCGAGTAACTTGTTACATTTACTTTTGTATCTCGATGGATCAGATCCAAGTTTTCAAATGTCGTCTGTTCGGCTTTGCGATTATTTTTCCATCTTTAACTGAGTTTGAAAGCCTTCAAGTCATGTGAATTTTAATTAACGTAAAAGAACTAATAATGTGAAATATGCATCATTATGTGTCGAAGTCACAGAGATATATAATAAATAATTATGTCGATCGATATTTCCCAGACAATAATTACAATGAGAATCTAACGATACATAATGTCGATTTACCCGTGTATTGATGCTCGATAGCTCTGATTTGTTCGGGGGTGAAGGCCCAGTGAAAGGCTAACTTTTTCCAATCTCCAGGCGCCAGTTGCTTGTAGGCCAATTTCCATAAAACGGATCGAACTTGCTCCGTGAGGCGGCCGTTGTTGCTAGAGATGCTGCCACCGCGCGATCCCTCCCTCCACCATCTTCGCGCCGGAGTCAGCTCCCGGACCTCCTTGTCGGAATTTGAGATTTCCTAAAATCCAATTTTTCATTTTCATTATCTGATGTCAATTCAACGTGTCGAACAAGCAGGACGCGGTGACCGACAATAAAACGCGTATTTATTTTGTTGCAAAATTTAATCGTACTTTTTTATTGGAATAATATCCGGAGCAATAGAAAAACAAATAAACCCGCGAGCGAGCTAATCAAATTTAAATTGAAGATTGAAATTTTCCACAATTGAAGTGCCGTTCGCGTCACATTGCGTAATTCTTTTACATCATCCAAAGTTCAAGGCCCGGGGCAAAAGTAGCTTAAAAGACACTTGAGCGTTAAGCTGGGATAAGCCGCGGGTCAAGAGCGGCGTGTATCAGACGCAGGGTGAAAGGAAAGATCGACGTTAAGCGAAATTCTTGTAACTACGACGGGATATGTACCTACCGGGGTCGGATAATCCAATCGGGCGGTCTTAATGATCATGTCGACGATGGCCGTGAAACTGCCCCTCGCCGCGATGTAAAGTGGCGTTCGGCCGCTCTGCAAACGTCAGGATAAACTTCGGTTTAACTTTATTATCAAGTTTGCGACGGTCGCCGTCAATCCGGCGTCCCCTATCGCGTTAACCGCAGCGCGCCGCATCAGGAGTAAGGCGTTCTGTTCGGAGCTTTCTGCAAATAGCGCGAGTCAATTTCCCCTGGCACGTGTCACACTGTCGACAGAATCAACCCCCCCCTCCCCCTCCCCCTCCCCCTCGTGTCGTGCACGCGCGACAGAATTTTCGTTCGGTGTGTTAATTAAGAGTGGGATGCTGTATTATTAGAGCTGTGTCGTGAGATTGAATCTTTTATAGCGCTCTTGTATTCTTGCGGCGCTTCTACAGAACACAGAGCTGGCGAGGAACAAGGTAGCGAGGAAACTTAAGTCGTTAAAGTTTCGTTATTTTGCATTATTGTACAAATTAATGCTTTTAATAAACGCGAACTCTCGTTGAGTTCCCACCTTCTAGTTCTTTGTTTCGCGAGTGTAAGTGCTTGCGTTGATTTTATCAATTTTTTTTCCCCTATTACTTTCCCTTACTGCTGTCTCAACGCTAGCTTCATTTGTTCGCGCGGAACAATGATTGCTGATAGACGATAACGTTATCTTGATCGGATTTAAAGCATTATAGCAGGTCACTATTAAAGCAGATCTGTTAATTAAGGTACGCCGTCAAAGAATGCGAACGGTTACTTTGTTAGTTTATAACAGCATTTCAGTCTTTCTTCTACGAAGATTTAGAGTCTCTTGTTAATTTGTTCTGGCGTCCTTGGAATCTTCTTTCGCGTTGTAAAAATTACGATGAAACTTGTCAGGTGGATTCAGTAATTAATTCACAAGTAAAATTTAATTGCTTATCGAGTTAATTTGTGCTCTATTATAATTCGACCGTAGTTGAAACTCGAAATTCATGGCAATTTATTCAATAACGAGGCAGTGTCTACAAATGAATTAGTCAAGCGTCGATGATACGCGGTCGAGAATACAAACGGATCCAGTTAATTATATCGTCAAAGGCTAACGCGATAATATCCAATTCTCTAAACTCTGTATTTACCTGTTCTTTTTGCTCGATATTCGCGCCTGCCGCAAGAAGTAATTCGCAAATGTCCGTGTGCCCCATCTCGGCCGCGATATGTATGGACGATTGCAGTCTCTGAAGCAAATCGATACGAAACAGAAAAATTAAACAGTCCCATTGCACGTCCTTCGATATCGAGTGCGATTGTAAAAATTTTAACGTCAGCCTGAAGATTAGCGAGCAATATTGAGAATAATGAGAAATAAGTTTATGCAACCTCGTTTCTCTCGTGGCATTAATAATACAACGATTATTAGGAGCGCACGAAATGTACAATTCCACATTTCACGTACCGAATTCAAACAATTGAGATCGACGCCTTTGCTAATTAATATCTCTACCGTTTCTACTTCGTTGTTTTGGCAGGCCAGGTGCAGAGGTGTGTTGCCGTTCTGCAACAGATAATGGAGAAAATTCGTATACAGTCCGCCCATTTGTTTTCCGCGGAAAATTCTCTTTCTCTTCTCACAATTAATATTATTCATCGCATCACGATTGCGTGCCTGCGATCGAACGTCGAGGCGTTTCTGCGCGCAATAATGCATCGGCAAAATATTGCTGGCCATCGTTATGCATGCAGTCAGTCTCGGCGCGGATTATATTTGGAAATATATACCGTGGTATATCTGTACCTTACACTGCTTGTTAAGATCGGCCCCGTGCTGAATCATGGAGTCGAGTATTCCTTTACATCCCTGGCTTGCGGCGACGTGAAGGGGAGTGAAGCCCTCCTGGAGATAGTTGATACAGATTAATCATGCGAAATAATGATCCGCGACACGAAGTGTGCGATACGAAATAACGACCCGCTGTTACGAGATTAAATTTCGCCTCTACGATTCGTCAATATAAAGAAGCCGTCGCCAAGTAAGAACGTAAATTCATTACGGGAGTTATTCTACAGTTTCTCGGCTATTCTAAAGGATTATTATCCAACATTTAATCGCAGGTTCACACGTGTAGCTCCGCTTAGCCAATCGTTCTATTTTTATTTGTCCGTCAAGTGGACGCGATCGCTCAACTATTCAATTTACCGCGTCGATTAGCTCGGTGTTCGCCCCGGCCTTTAATAATAATTGCGCGATCCCTGTGTGCCTCGTTCTGGTAGCCACGTGAAGCGGGGTATTGCCATCGTTATCCTGGGCGTCTACGTTCGCCCCTAATCCTATGAGGATCTCGACCGCATCCAAGTGCTCCTCGGCGCAGGCACAGTGTATCGCCGTTTGTCCTTTCTGGAAATGAATCCAGATTTAGGAGGGGCTCAATCAGTGCCCGTGCGACTTTGATATGTATATTCGTTATAAAAAAAAAATATCGCGACTATCACACAATTTTCCCACATTTGCGATATAGGTCGCCCTCGTCTGACGTGTGTGCATTAATCATTTTTTAAACCAAGTAAAAAGAATTTTCTAAAAATTTCTTAAAGCCCTCGTTCCAACAATAATATTTGCGTAAAAGGAAATACAATATTTTTCTATAACGTATACTTCTCTCGTGCTTTTTGTAGCGGATGGCAGATAAACATGTTATTTTCGGTTCTCTTGTTTTACAGAACCGTTTATTCAACGAGTGAACGTCGTGTAAATTTTAAGAGTAATATTTTTAAGAATAAATATTGATTACAAACTTTTGACAGGATATTAAAAACGACCGTTTCAAGGTTCGAGAGCTAATAGTCTTAGCTTGTAAGGCTGTTTCATTTTTCTTTGCCAGATTATCCAGTACACTTGTTACACTTATGATCTAATATCGCGCAACATTGGAAGTGAACTCGATACAAATTCGCGCCCCGAGAGTTATATATTACGACGCCTATCAATCTTATCGCAGAGAACAGAACTAAGGGAACTCTTTTGTTTAAAAAAAAAAAACTTTCAATCGGAGCTTTTATCTGCAGCCGAGTTATCGAGCATTGCAACGGAGTTACTGGGAATATCATGTTATCGAAACATCTTTTAGGTAATTTCGTATCGAATCCATTTCCGATATTTTTTGTTACTGCAGATTATCAAACATCTCTATATTGTATAATATAAATCATGGTTATTTAATACCGCATAAATTTGGAATTGGAATATCTTTTAATCTGATAAATTTGAATTTCAAAAATTAATACAATTATTAAAAGCGACAAAGAAACACCTCTGTAATAGACGTCACGAAATTATGGGGATTTGGCAATTATCAATTGTATCATTAGAAAATATTAATATACTGTTATCTTTGTCCACAATTATCTCGCTAGATACTTACGATTGTTTTAATAAAATAGATTTTCGAAGGGTTAATCATGACATTGTAGAGATTTGATTATATTAATTCGTTATTATTTTTATTCGTTATTATTTCAATAGATTTTATCTCTGGAAAAGTTCGGCATTAGACAGATTTTTGATGGGTTGAAAAGCGATTTAATAAATATCATGAAATTATCGTAGATGTGACGATTGTGTTATTGGAAAATATTAACACGCGATTATCGGTGTCCGCAATTATCCCAAGATTCTATGGCTTTTCTTAATCCACGTCAAATCGATATTTCCGCAGGGATGGAAGTAACCGATTGCCCAAGAATGACGAACCGATACGGCAAGCGGCGCGGAATGTGAAGACGGGGAGGGCGAAACGCCGTGCCCATCTCGGGGAAATTAGAATTCCGCGTGCGAGGAGAATCGAAAAGGGGGATGCGCGAGTAAATTGAATGAGAAAGCAAGAGTATCCGGGATGTAGGGAAGTGAGCCTCTGTTTACAAAGGCTCCCGTAAAATGTACTCAAGCCAGCCAGGTTGGTCGAGTTTCACAGTCGCGGCGGCCCTCCTCGGGGGATTGCGCTTGCCTCTCGATAAGGACACTATGGCAGTCGACACTGGGGAGAGGGACAGAGAGACCCACTTTCCCAGGATTTAAATCAAGAGAGGACGAGAGAGGGACGTGCTCGCGCTTTGACCTACCTGGCGAGAGTGTACGTGTAGGTGTTGGACGACTACACACGCGGAAATCCGAGCGCGGTTCCTCTTGCCGCCGCGCGTTAAACGGACGGTCGATTGTTCCTGTCGATAAATTATAAATATCCCCTTTTGTGTCTTCATCCGCCCCGCGATCGATACCGCGCTACTCCATGGCCGAGTCACCGTGCTATTATTCTCGTGCAATTTTTGATGCGTTTTCGCTGTTTCTCGGATATATGATATTTAATTTTATCATCATCCGCGTAAAATGCGACGGAGAGGGGAGAGAGAGAGAGAGAGAGAAACTTATTATATTCCTGTACGCGAGAGAGGGACGGAGAGATTTTAATACATCGCGCTAATGCAATTTATAATAAGCAAGCAAATGATAATGTAATGCAGCTTGATATAATTTATCAAGTTCGCTGGACAATTCGGCTTCGGCCGTTAATTCTTTTTTTTTACGGGTCTGGCTGCAAAACCGCGAGCAAACTGTTTCAACGGGAATTTTCCTTCCATCTTCTCCTCGCGTTACATTTATCGAACTTCGTTCCCTGATTTTATACGTATTCCTTATATACCACACGTCTCCGATGTTCAAAAGGCCGGGGCTCAACGGGGCTCTTAAGCATGTCTCAAACGTGCTCGTAGGGATGCTGAGTGTGTACACAGTATCCTCCGCGTATCGGGGAGCAGCTTGAGACGTCCCAGAGAGTGCCCGCGTCACACGTCAAAATTGATCCCGGATTGTAGACAGATGCTTATCGTCGTCGTGGCATAAAAGCCATAGGAGACCCGCATCTACCGGAAATAGCGAGAGGAGAGGGAGATAGAGAAAGAGCCGCGGTGGGGATTGATCGCACGAATGATTCAGCGGAGAACTGCGCGTCGCCGGGAGACAACTGATTCTTGGCAGCGGACGTTTCCCCTTTCCGAAATCCGCTTTATACGCGATCCCCGATAGGTCCTGGATACGTTGAATTATTATTAGCTCGAGGATAATGAATTTTTACTCGTCTAGACGTCGCGGCCAGTTGGTTGACCGCTGCATCGAGCGCTAATTAATTGGCCGTCACTCGCGCTAAATCGAACAAATATCTCGCCTTACTTTGAGCGCAACACGAGCAATGATTTGCATGAAAAGCGCCGCATTTACGTTAAATGCACACTCCTCTGCGTTGTTTTACGAACAATGGCCGCGTTTAAGAGCGAAATTATGTTCCGAAATGTTGTTGCAGGCAATTGCTTTGTGATTCTCAAGCGCGGGATGGAATGCATAAAACTGTGCATAATTCATGTATGCAAATATTTTCTGAGAGACGACTAATTAGTAATTTACGAGAGCGAATTGTGTGTGCACAGTTGCGATCGCGCGAATGAATTTTCTACGTGGAATTTACGCGGAGCACTTTTGACTGCCGGTGTTGTTACGTGAGGAAACTTTCTCGAGCAAAAGTTCGGGCAACCAAGATGTTAATGGATGGACGGACGGACGGGTTTCCCCCGAGATATATGTGTATAACGAAATACACACACACAGAGAATCGGGGCGAAATGGTGGGAATCAGATTTCTGGGTGTGGAATATCTCATTGCAACGCGAAATTCGAGAAACTGAGGTCGGAGCACGCCCGTATTTCGCGAGAACGTATTGGTCCATTCCGGTATGCACGCGATGCGCACATTGATGTATCGTCCAATCTTGCCGATTTCCAATTTAAACGAGATTAATTAGCGGTCGTTTGCCGTCTTATTTATTTATTGGTTTAACGGTTACGAAAATCGTGAAGAGTATCGTGGCTTTTTCGCGATTAGGATTAAATTGAATTCGAAACTATCGATATATATCTTTCTCCATCGCGTGTTATTGACAATACGGCTGTCGCGGTAGTGACTTCTTGAGCTCCTACGCCGCGTAGAATCCGTATTTTACTTTCGAATATAAAATCTATTTCCTTTATCCTTGTATCTTTATGTCTTGCTTTCAAATTTTTGAAAGCTCGTCTTCGTCAGTGGTTTCTGATGCAGAAACCACTGACAAATTGTATACAATTATTTTATTCTTCAGTTATGTTCCTATAAATCAAATCGTGTAAATATAAATGTATCATCGTTATTCTCATTGCTTGAATTAAAAATGTATATAAAATGTTTCTGTTGTCTAGATCAGCGTTCCCTAAACTGCAGGGGTTCGCGAGTCCTCAGGAGGGTCGCGAAATGGCCCCGCTATTCTATTGTGTTTTTGCAGGGGGATTCGTAAAGTATCAATTTTACTTTTTTTTTTACGCTTCAGGGGGAGCTAAAAGTTTGAGGAACGCTGGTCCAAATGGTCGGTCATTAGGTCGATTAGCTTTCTCCCCCGCCGTCTTCTTCACTTCGCATTTGGGGAGCTCGAGCCAGTAACTTATAAATTATGCGACACAGTCCATTATTATCAGCAAATAAATACCCTCGAGTATTTTACAGTGAAAGTATGTTATTTATTAAAAACGGCTACGTCCGATAAAAATACGCCCGATAAGAATTTACTAAATCGCAGGATATACCTTGTCCGTGGCGTCCAGCACAATCCGCGGGATGTTCGCCAGCGCTGTGATTACCGCGGGATGCCCGGTGATGGCCGCGTGATGAAGGGCAGTCGCCCCGGTGCAGTCGATGGCCTCGCCGTTTAGCGATTCCACTGCTTCCGCGAGGTATTCCACCACGGCTACGTTGCTGCCGCGGGCGCCGCACATTAGGAGAGTGTGCTGTTTCTGAACGGGAAGAAATATGTCGTTCGGAAACCGCCACACGCAGAGGGAGGACTGTCGCCGAGGGGAAACTCTCGTTACTCTCGCGCCGTGCCACTTTTAAACAATAGGCGATTTTTGGCAATTGTTTGGTACACGTGCCAAAGTGTACCAAAGCGTACACTCAGCGTCACGGATGCTTTTACATCTGAAAAATAGCCGCCAAGTTCAATATATCCCGATAGAGAACTTCATTTTATTAAAATACTTTTTTTTTCTGGATACACACAGGAAAAAAGTGTGAGATCAACTCCTGTATAGGTACTCGAATTAATGCGCCATTGTTTTGTATATACGCAACAATCTATAATCTCATTAGAAGCGTTTGATAATCTTACGTTCCAACAATATTACAGTCTTATTTAAATACTACAATTGTCACTTTAAGAATACATATAATTACTTTGGCAATAAAGTCGTTTCAATCATTATAATCTTCGATTTGAAAATATGTTAATTTCTATCCAATATTGTTTTCTTTCCATTCAAGAAAATTATTCTTATGTAATGAGCATATTTTTCTCTTGATTGAATTATATAAAATTGCTTCATTTAGGTAAGTTTTCCTTCTCTTGACGCAATATAATCTCGTTTCAAGATTTTCACGTTGAAACTAAACGTATTTTCGAAAGAAGAATATTCTTTTTTTCTGTGTATCTTTAGCGTCTATCTTCAGGTGCAAAGGCACGCTGACAATAAGGGCCGGAGCACACAAATGGCCTTAAGCAATAAGACGTAAGCAGTAAACGAATTGACCAATCACAGTCGAGAATATATAATATGGCTGCCATAATCTCGACTATGATTGGTCAATTCGTTTACTGCTTACGTCTTATTGCTTAAGGCCATTTGTGTGCCCCGGCCCTAAGTGTGCACTTTGGTATATCGATTGATCTCTTTCGCAAGCTCGTATCTCGATTTTACGCAATTTTCAGTTTTTCTGTTTGAACACTCATTTAGGACCAGAATGAGCGTTTAAACAGAAAAGGTGTACCAGAATGTACACTCATTGTCAGCATGCCTTTACACCTGAAGAAAGACGCTAAAGATACCCAGAAAAAAAAGAATATTCCTCTTTCGAAAACATGTTCAGTTTCAACGTGACAATCTTGAAACGAGAATATATTGCGTTGAAGGAAGGAAACGACGTTGCGAAAGAGATCGGTCGGTGTGTACCAAAAATCGTCTAATGCTTCGCGCAATTTCAGCCCGCGAAGGACGGAACTTCGGTGCCTTCGCGCGCATCAATTCTACTATAATTCTCTTCAACTCTCTTCGTATCACTTTCCTCATGCGCGCGATAAAATTCTGCACGACATGCCGAGGGGAAAACGATGAAAGCGCGCGCCTATTATTTAGGACCGACGCCAATATCAATATTGACACGTTATTGATTTCAACTTCGCCACGATTTCCCCGCTGGCTTATTTCGCTTTTTTTTTCACAATCTCCGCGAGATTTCCGTTTCAGCATTTCCTTTTTCTACGCGATTCGCGATCAATAAACTTTAATTAAACCTATGATTTCATCCTGCACACAATGTGTTCCGTAAATTTGCGGTGCGGATAAAAACTTTTTGCGCTATTTGAGCAAAGCTGCCTCGTTATCTAAATAAAGTTTCCTTCGCGTGACTCTTGTCGCAGTTTTCCGCGCAAGTTTCCTACATGCTTAACAAATTTCGCAGCAAATCTCGACGTTTACGAAGTCGTACTTGGAAGTTGTACTTACGACGGAGCAGCTTGAGTTTACATGAAATGTTTGATGAAGCGAATTGTCAAAGGACAATTGGCATACCTTGTTAATCGCGGACACGTTTGCTCCAGCATTTATCAGCATCTTCACTGCGTCTCGGTGTCCGTGTTGGGCGGCCATATGTAAGGGTCGCATTCCATACTTGAAAGAGAAATGAACAGCCCGGAAATTAATGTTGGACGGAGGAATTTCATCAAGTCGTTCGTCGGTTAGATTAAATTCCGAAAGAAGTGTCGCTCGAAAAAAAAAACATATTAATGTTTCGTAATAAAGTAACCATTTATCAACCGTTTACGTTTACATTAATTTCCCATGTGGAAGCGGTCGACGATGTTTTAAATCTAGAGACTCCATTTGTTTTCAACGTACGAGACTTCTCCTTTTTCGCGAGAAAACGTATTTTACTTTGCTGTCGTCCGTATTTTACGTTGCTATCCCAATTTACAGTCATCTCTTAATAAACTATCTCTGTCCTTAACCGACTCTTATTAAAAAAAAGAAGAAAGGAAGAAAAGAAGTAGAAGGATGCCGTACCTTATCTCTCGCTTCGATGTCGCATTTAGCTTGTATCAACATTTCAATGATTTCTGTGTTTCCTCTAGACGCTGCCCAATGAATCGGAGCACGACCATACTAAGAAAGACATTAATGACAAAGGCAATATTAGAGAAGCGATTGCTGCTTTTAGTGATATTAAAGTCTGTCAAAAAAAATTGACAAATTGAACTACAAATGGCGTTTCATTATGTATTTTTGTCTTTGAAGCTTTTGTCTTTTGGTGACTTACATTATTTCTGGAATCTACGTCGACAGTCTCCTTAAGCACTTTGCGAACGGTGTCCGCTTCGTTCTTTATCACAGCCTCGTGTAGAAGAAGATCATTCTTAAGAACTGAGAAAAAGATATAATATAAAAGAGGATATGGAAGTGTTATATTATAAAAAGAAGTATTTAATAATAAAATATCATTTCTGGTGCAAAATGAAAATTTATCATTTGCTTTACGGTATTATTGAATAAATTTTGGAGATAAAACTGTATACATTGCGAGAGGATTTTATTAAAATCTTTTTTTTTTGTATCGAAATACGTCAATTCACTTTTCTAGCGCAACGTTTTTTGATCTCTTCGCGCTGATTATTTTTTTGTTTTACAAAATATGTCGAAACGCTTTTTGTGCAATGTGGATGTATGGATTAATTTTTCAATGTTTTTATATATTTAACATCTGGCTTTTATAAATTTGGTTTTTGCAAAACATGAATCATATTTTCAATACAGCGCGGATGCACGTGGATGAATTTCTTCATTACCCCGTAATGGTTTTTTGCGAAAGGAGGATCTCGAACGAGGAACGCGAAATAGTGCGGATTCAATTAATTCGCGTGCGCGTTACGGGCTTTTTATTTCAACTTCCGACAGTCACGTCGTAGCGCACACGTGCTGTCGTTACTGCTGGCACACTCTGTTTTTTTATAAATTCGGCCCGCACGGATATCGATCGTGTGTGCAATTGAGGCGAAAGGAAGGAGGTGGGCGGGAGATGAAATACGCGAGTGTGCACAGTGTGTTGTTAATTAGTTGAATGGCTGATTTCGCGAACGTCCGATGCAAATTGAATACCTTTTTACTTCCGCGCAACTGCATGTTAATAGACTGGCATGATCTACAAAGCAAAATACAAAATATACAATTTTTTAATTATTATACGAAATAATTATTAATCTCTCTCTCTCTCTTTCTCTCTGTTTGTCTTGCTCTGTCTCTCTCGTTTTTTTCTTTTAATAAAGAGACCAAGCATGGCGAAAAGTATACACGGCAGTTGCTTCAAAGAAATTATCTTCCTCTCGTCTGCGTGTGCAAGATAAAAGAGAGCGATTAAAGTTTTCATACAATATTATGCTATTATCGCTTCGGCATAATAAAGTTCTATTTCACTGAACAGTAAACACGTTTATATATTTAATGTAAAATTTCATTCATAATACAACTCTCTTGATATATAGAGATAGAGGATCATTATATAAATTATTGCACCGTGAAAAGGAAGAATTTGTTCGATTCGAAGAAAGCGGGAGGTTGCGGAAAAACCAATCGGTTAAAAGAAATCCAGGCAATTCGGTGCCTCGAATGTATGAGTGGTTTTTCCGGCTTTACCGTAAATCTTGGAAAATGGAGAATGTGAATTTCGCTCCTACACTCCTCATATATTCACATTTTACTTGGGATTGCCGAGACAGCTTTAAATCTTCGCACGCTTCGTGGCGCATTTTGTGTGAAGCAGATGCGGCGCTTTACTCACTTCTAGCAGTCTTTTGGTTCAGCACTTCATCCTCGATCGCCTCGCTGAGATTTAGCGGTGGTGGTGGGGCCTTAGCCTTCGTTATTCTCAACTCTTCCTTGTCCACCATCTTTCACTGCCGTTGTTCCGACAATGAGCCTAGCATTGTCACTGCCGTGGTTGTGCGACCTTAATGCCACCTGGCTTGCAGCTCTACTGCTAATTATCAACGACCTGGAAAACCAAGCGATGATGAGTGGCGAGATCAGCGCAATCAGCGTAGAAATCGTAGTCGAAGCTACAAGATCAAAAGAGATGAAAATCGCTCAAGTGAATCGCTGAAGCCTAGTGGGCTTAAAAAAAGAACCGAGTCAATTGTATCTAAATTACGCAAATTAAATATTGTACTTGAACTGAGGGAAAATGCGACTAAAAATGTTCCTTCAAGTTACGATTTAATTATTATATGGCAGACATATAGACTCAATGGCTTCCGTTTTCCTTGATTTATTCGCAAGATAAGTTGAAATATAGCGATAGTTGGTATTTGGCGTTCGCTTACTAGCGTTGCAGGTGTTAATTTACTACACCAATTATCAGAAACATTCTGAGTGTTTGTTATGCAAAATTGGAATTATTGTCTATTAAAAGTTGCATATATCTCGTGCAATTACGGCTTGTAGCCGGCTGAATATATACATATGTATATATCAATGACCGACGAATTAATCATGAGTTTTCTCGTTCTACATTTCAATTTGTCGTGTTTCGAATTTTCTCGTTTTATCGCGGTGAAATCTGTTATTACAATTTGCTGTTCGTGCGGTCGCAATACGGTTAGGGCGAATAATATGTGTGCAGTGCTCGGTTAGCGGAGTACAATATATATATAATTCATGGATGATAATTAATTCACTCACAGATTCGGAATTATATCGGGGAGACTGTGACACTAGATTTCGCGCATTTACATACATTTTAATATTTCAAATTAATCGGCATCATGAATTGTAATATATTTTCCGATTATTCAGGTATTTTACGTTGCTTCTCAATAATATAATCTGTGCTACTCATCGACTAGAATTCATACCAAAATGTCATTAAACATGCATTGTCATAATGCAATATGTGTTAGGAGCTAATCAGTAATCGCGCAATTGTCCCATCACTTTGGGCTATTTTTTCCAGGTGCTGATTTTCGTCGTTTTATTTCATATTCCACAGTGAAACAATCGCTCCGTTCGTAATTCGTCATTCGTTTAAACGCAGTTACACCGCGCATATTTACTCGACTGCGAATTTTCTCGGAGTTCGTTATAGAGTAATGTTTGTTTTATCACCGCAGAACCAGAATTACGTAGAGAGTGAGCGAGCAAGCAAGAGAGAGAGAGAGGCGCAATCGCAATAGCAGAGATGTCTAAATTCTCTCTACATTAGTCAGCTATGCTGTAACAAGAAAAGCTTCCCTATCTCTTTCTCTTGCGAGGCATCTGCGCTTCAATTAATCTCTATCCTCCGCTTTATCTCTTTGACGTTTTTAGGCGTGTGCCGCTTTGTGAATAAATATAGTTATTTAAGGAAAATAAAACGTTAGCCGTACACACTCTAGTATTATTAGCTTTGCACACATTAAATGTTTGCTCGTTTAAATTGACACCATAGACTTTTCCTTTCAGGATCGGTTAATAAGCTCGAGATTAAAGAAAACATAAACTTTTTTTGATACGCGCGAGTATATATGCTGATAATTAAAAAAAAATCGCATTTCTTATTTCCTGAAACCGTACAATTGTTCGATATTCAAATCTCTTTGAAAGAAAATCAAGATATCACGCATTGTGGGTCTTATAACGTATTGTATTTTTTTCATTGCAACTCGAATATCCGGAACAAATTATATGCATATTTAGTGTGTAATCGGTATCGCTCGTTCGAATACGCCACAAATTACGCATTAATTTAGTTGATTGAGTTACCGCACGGTTTCCGTCGCAGCGGCACTTACGGCAATATCTCATAAATTTAGCGTTCCGTAACTGAATCAGATCTCCGCGGGATCTTCAAGAAACTTCAATAATCACGCTCAAACGGAAATGGAAATTACATTAAACGTTTTCGCATCCGTCGGATAGAGATCGCAGATTGTCAACCGGAACCCGCGCTATCTTTGTCAGCAACTATTTCACGATGTAATTAACATTTGTCTCTCAAACGTCATCCTGGAAGAGAGATGTGTATAAGAGACATGTGCCGACATTATCGTAATGTACGCGGAATACGTGTCCGCCGACGATAACATTCTTCTCGGTGGATATAATATAATATTATATTATATGTTATAATCTAATATTGCAAATAGTATTATAATGCAATATCCTTGTGTCTAATTCTCTAATTTAACGAAGAACATTTTCGAGAGAGGTAGCATCAGGAAAGCGCACCGACGCGACGGGTTACTGATGTTTCCGAGTCGCAGAATATATTTCATTGTACGTCTGCCGCTTGGGAAAATGCGCTTTTATCTATAAGACATTCATTAGCATTGCAAGTTACGACTGCCATCTGTTTTTAATGATTGATTGTGCCTGACTTTACTGTCGTGCCAAGGCGCTGCGCCGCGGCGCGCCACACCGTCGGAGTTTATCACTGAAATCCCACATAATCCGATATTGCTGAAACTTGTGCAAGTTTTGCATTTGTTTAATCTTGTATGACTTCTTGGATACTTCCGCTTCTCACTGTTACAAAGTAACTCGATACACCTCAGCTATTGTCATTTATATACAAACAGATATGAGATGCAAAAATTTCATCGACATTACAGTGGCATATATTTTATGTCTGCAATCTTTATATATTTACGAAGTTAATCTAAAAATGTAACGTAAAAAGTTACGTTAGCTCTTCTTCTCTCTCTCTTCTATTTGGTAATATACGTAATTATTTAAGAATTGTAAAATTGATCAGAGAGGATACCATTTCCAGTCTGGATCTTGGTAGTCTAATAATAATGTCCGTGTGAATTTTATTTTAAGACGGACAAATCCCTGGTAGAAATATATGCTGTTTCTCTAGATACCCTTCCAGTTACTATCTAGTATTACTACATTCTCATTAGTTCTAACAATACTGCATAGAAAATGGACAAGAACTTGATAGAGTTTTATTTGTCAGAGCAGAAGCAGTTTTCCTGGTAAAAATACACGCAGTTCGCTTAGACATTTGTCCAGTTATTGTCTATTATATTAAATTCTTATTTATTAAAATACTTATTCTTCTGTTCTTGTTCAGTAATTGGGTTCAGATTTTGCGCATCTTTTATGTGCAGTAACTGTAAGAAAAGCGTTACGTCTTCATTGGGATTTCCAAGTAGTTTTACTTCTCAGTTACTAGACAAAAGTTAATACAACCGTCTAGTAACTGCTAAAAAAATGCATGACATTTCTGTCAGGATAATAAGTGTTTACTGAATTGAAAAAAGTATACCAGACTCACGCAGAAATATTATTATTAGGCTGCTAAGATCCAACCCGACCGAAAATGCCATCTTCTCTAATTAATTGTAAGATTCATGTCACGGTTTTCTTATTCTGTACACATTATTATTTCCAATACCTTGGACATTAGTATTATATATTGAATTTTAGCATTATGTTACGTATAATTAAAAAAACATTATTTTGTAATAAAATATGAATGAAGAAGTAGATGTTTCTTGCCACACGTATTTGTTACGTGTATATTGTACACAATTTTGCATTCATTTTGTTGCTCCGAGGCAGATATTAGTTCCATTATCCGATACATCGCGTGCTATTGCACATTTCATGGCTACATGCGATCGGAGTGCCTTTTCAGCTAGTAGCGTGTTGTTTCGTTAATAATGTAATATCAGGGACAATGTTTCCGTTTCCTGATCATCCGCAACGCGCATTCATCCGTGTGTTGAAAAGTAAATGTGCGATTCGCGCAATGTGTTAAACAAAGCGGCATAAATTACTGTCACTAAAGCTTCTCGGATTACAATGCTTTATTATTCGCGCTTTAGATTGAAAGTATCATTTAACTGCATAGCGCAACGACCCTTTTATCAGTTAAACAGTGGAATTCCAAGACAACAAACTTTGTGACAGTTTCAAATTGATACAGGATTTTAGATATTGACAATTAAAATTGATATTTTAAACAAAGAAGGGTGAATGGAATAGTAATGACAAAGACCTATAAATCAAAGTTCGCTTTCCTCTGCACCAGCCGCAGAAATGTTAGTACTAATTGTTTACTCGGTTTACAGATGCGAGAGTAATTTATCAACAGACGAAGTATATGAAATAACGAATCGAGTGCACGAGATGCGCAATTGATATTATTTCCAGGAAATCTTATTTCTCACAAAGCATCTTTGAAACGTACCGGTTGCTTTATTATTTGCAACTTAGTCGCATTAGCATCTCGTCGACGGGATAAGTGCAGTTATTAAATTAGTAAAAGAGGTAGTGAGCGAGCATTCAACAAATATAGTCATAAATCTCTATCGCCGAGAGAGAGGCGTTACGAAACGAAATATATTATCCTCAGCCGCTACCATTTTTCATATTTTACCGTCATGCGGGTGTATAAGTCGACATTTTTCTCTAAAGAGTTAAAGCGCGCAGCGACGAGATGCCGGCCTCTCTAAAGAGAATTTCACATTTCTTCGGGTCTTTCCAACGTTTTTGTTCTTTTTCTGTTAACGTTCAGTCTAAAATCTCGCTGTTGCATTTATGCATTTTGTTTTACGAGACATGCATTGTGCTGGCGAAGAAATATTATTTTCTTATAATATATGTAACGAGATGCACTTGCTTGAGAATTTTTTCAGAGTGGAGAATAGGATAAAATTTTATCGCCGATATTATTTTGCCGAGCAAAGTCGCGTTGCTTTTGCGTGAGTTTATCAATATTTAATAATTTTAATAATTGTGACGTATTAATTTTTCACGTCTCAAGGCTCGAAATTTCGACTGCGTATTGGATCATCTTTTGACATTCAGAAAAAGAATAGCTTAGAATACTAATTTGCAAGATCTATTGTGAGAGACGTAAGTCTTGAATGTAAGCTTTGAATGTAAATTCAAAGCAGATTTTATAAATTATGAACTTGTTCCACTGTCACTCTGAGCACTTTAGGTATTCCAAAAGAAGTGGAGACACAAAGGAGAATTAAAGCATCGCTTTGAAAAAGAGAATAG